CTGGACAGCTAGGAAGTTAGGTAAATCTAGGAAAGTGATAAGTGGGATGGGGAAGGGTTCATCAGAGGAGGGAATTAGGGGGGGGGTGGGCGTACTTCCCGAAAATTTTCCACAACATAGATACAATGCGGGGGTTACACAACAGTGATAGCCTTGGACTGAGGAAGGAAGAGCAAACCTCGACAAGAAGAGTCTCCAACTGTGTGTGGCCATAAGCACCAGTTAATTCAAGGACGTTGTTGGCGAAGGCCAATAAGTTGAACAGAAGGAATTCGCTCGTTATCGCCACCAGCATCACCGTCACGCCGTTCTCCTTCCGATCTGAAAAGCTTTTCTGATTTGAGACAGAGGATCATGCTTCTAGTGGTCTCGAAGTGTGATAGAGAGGCTTTGCAGCTTCAGCAGCACTCTCCTTCGATTTACACTTTCTCTTATGTATTTTGGACATTACCCCTCCGAGACTTCAAGGCATCAGATGAAGTACCTTGCTGTTAGTTGCAGAACAGCTTCATTGTCCTTAAGCTCCTTAGGCTTCGTTCATACTTTGCGGCGCTAGCGACCAATAGCGTCCACCAGCGTTCCGAGCGTCCGGTGACTAGAAAACTACAGATATCGACCTAGCGCCTTCCAGCGTCCTTCGGCGTCTACCAGCGTCCGACATGTTCCGGAGAGAAGAGTATGGGGTGATAGGAGGGAAGCAGACAGCTGACAGAATATCGGAAGATAGGAGGGTAGCAGGTACCTGGTGGAGTATAAGGGAGAAAGGAGGCTGCCAGCTGTCTGCTACCCTCCTCTCGCGCCATATTCTCCTCTCCCGGACGCTGGTAGACGCTGGTGCACGCTGGCAGACGCTGGCAGACGCTAGATCGATACCTATACTTCCCTAGCCCTCGAGACGCTGGTGGACGCTGGTAGACGCTGGAGGACGCTGGCGGACGCCAGATCGATATCTACAGTTTCCTAGACGCTGCTGGACTCTCGGAACGCTGGTAGACGCTGCCGCAAAGTATGAACACAGCCTTAACAACTGACTTCTTCAGTTAGCTCACTTATCTTCAATTCAGATATTCTAGAATAGATCTAATAAAAAAGGTCTTAGGAATTCAGTCTCATAAGAAATTAGAGCAGAAAATCACCTGCAAACGTCGAGTCAACGAGGATAGTATTGGCGACATTTATTTTTAAGTAACCAGGAGTTTCAAAACTGCATGCTACTGGCATAAAAACTCACCGTTAGTAGCCGAGATAGAACCGCTTTCAGGAAAGGTCCCCATCGAGACAGTTTTCGGCGCAGAATCGGCCACGGTTGTTAAGGTGTCTACGGTAATGGGCGTGCTTTCTCGCTTCTTCCGCGGGTGCATTGTCATCATTCGACGCATCCTGAATCAGATATTTCAACACTGGCACTGATTGCAGAGGCAACATGCAGCTCCATAAACAAGGTCTCACAACGAGAGCATCCTCTCATGGGTCAGAAGTGCGCGCTCTGCAGTTCGCACTTCGTTTTAGAAAAGTAGGAACTCCTTTTTTAAAATTCTGTTCGGATCACGAGGAACCTGTTCGTCATGAAAAAGAACTTCATAGTGCAGTGGTAATTTCTAGAATCCTCTTTCCGGCCACCTCCATCCCGACCAGGGCCTGGTGCGAATGCCGCGCTGGTGACGCCGCTCACAAGGCCGCCTCCAAAGCGATGCTGCGATGCGGGCCCTACACCCGCGTTTCCGTAACGTCTGCACATACCGATGGGCAAGCAAAAATATTTGAGTCAAATTTCCATGAAAGCATTCCCAATGAGGCCCTTGTTGACTAATTTACTGGTAGTAGACGAAGATACCAAGTAATTCACCTCTTGTCGGGTATACCGTTTCCTCAGTTACCATGCGATTCTAGAAACAAACTTTCATATGCGGTAAGTAGGATGTGTCGATTCGTGATAGTTTACCGTTAATTCCGCGTAGCGAAAACGCGCATAATCCTGCAGAATAGTCCCTAGCTAGATAATTTGACATATTACACAGCCCTCCCCTTCCCATATTGAAGCGATGGTTCTGTTGCAAATACCTTGCACGTAACCCCTCTTGCAACATCTCTTTGCCTATCGTTGCCGCATCGTGGAACTCACGATTGACACCCCCTCCCCCCTTAATTCCCTATTCGGCAGAACTATTCAGGCTACACTTCAAATCTGAACAAATACAGCAGGTGATTTGAAATTCCTCGGAGTGCTCAAATTCAGCTGTCTTAGAGTACAGTAATTATTCCTGCAAACGACAGGACATGTGGAGGGGGCGTGGATTGGAGCGTTACCGAGGCGGCCTCGCTATCAATGATGCCATCCTGAGTCCTCAACGATTGGCGGAGAGAAAATCTGACTGCGCCAATGCATGTCCCCGTCACACGCCTTATCGTTTAGGATCGACAATTCAATGCTTTGCAGAAGCGCATAATGTGACAAGCTGACATAGCCGTACCGCCACCGTAGGAACGATTTCTGAGAAACAATTTCGTGGACAACCTTCGTAGATCACGTAAAAAATCGGAGGTTTGTCGTAATAGCCGGAATGCGCAAGTAAGCAGCGGCCACTTACCGATATGAGCTTCTAAGTGTGGCGATGATACGTAAGTTGACGAATGTGAGGATTGCGAACGGCAGGAAGAACATCACCATAGTGTAGGCGGCATTACGGTAGACCACAGTGTAGACGCTGTTCACCATCAAATCCGTTGGGTAGACCACCAAGGATTCTCTTAAAAACGCAATGCATTCACTTCATTTTATCTGGCAATAATTTTCCAAGGGCAAAAAAAATAATAAAGGTTCATCGATCATGGCTACACGTATACTCACGCGCGACTAAGCAGGCACCCCATCGATCCTGTCGCCTTCTACCCGCTCTAATGCACGCGCCATCTACTTCGCGACAGTTGTCTACCATCAACTAGTTAAACGAACCTATATACCCACCTCCGTGACTCGTGTGAGATGAAGGATTCTGCAGCTGCAGTAGCGTGTGTTCTGCTAAAAAGTGCACGGACGGGTGTAGATGGTAAGCGGTATCGGGTGCACGTCGCGGGGCCCTACTAACCACAGCATTGGGAGCGTTCAGACTTCGCGACAGCAGCCCGGTTCAGTCGTGTCGCACGCGTTTCGACGGCGGTCGATGGCATGCTTCAACCTGCGTCGATCGCGTCGAACAGCGCGACCGAAGGCGCCTGCCGTCGCGCGAGTCTGAAAGCGTGCATAGCCAGCACGAAGGTCAACATAGGAGCCCCAGTTCTTTTCGAGAGCAAACGTGGCGTTAGAGACGCTGCTCTCCGAGTGAACAGAATGCTCCCCATTTCACTTATTTCTTTTTCTACCGTGTTCGCTGCGGGATTTTCGTATTGACGCAAGTGCAGCACATTGATAGCGCGCGCGGAGCACAAGGTATCACTACAATGCAGAAACGTTCGCGTTCATTTTTGAGCGCAGCAGAGTGGCACAGTACTGCAGCTGCGGACCCATTTACCTCAAGCATGGCAGGAATATAGGTTAGGTCTTTGTCTCGGTCTTGCGCTGCATACTTACGCTAGTGTAAAAACTCAGGCGCAGTCGTCTGGTGAGGCGCATTATGCTGGTTCCCATCAACCAGATATATCTGTCGATACCTCTTGCGGAGATCTGTAAAATCCTATTAGGTTGTCCGGAAAGTTCTCAGCGTTTTGTGCACCCATTTTTTGTACATTCACTAGTTAAGAAACTCTATTCTGCTTGGCTTCTCAGGCAGCATATCCTCATAGAGATGTCATGCAGATATAGATGGATAATTGCCGTCATTATTCATTATTTGATAACCCCGCTTTTTTAAAATTTTTATACAAGCATGTGAAAAGAAGCACCTTCGGATTTTATTTCATTCGCACTATAATTGGGCAATGCCGCAAACCGAAAAGCTCAACAAATTAAGCCAGGTGTGGGGCCCAATCGGTGGCTAAGAAGCTGATGAGAGACAATGTGTTTCAAACTATTTCGTTCTAGAGATTTCAGCCTTGAAGGTGAAAAAACAGGGAGGGCGGTCACGTCACAAAGCAATATCTGACGCAGGATTTTAGGGATTTTGGAGGCTGACGGCCATACCCACGTAATACGCAAACTAGGCCTCGCAAATCCCACTGTTGCAGATGGTCTGGAACGCATTGGGAAGGTGAAAAAACTCGACAATTGGGTGCCCCACAATCGGAGTGACCGGCAGGAATCGGCACGTCTCGAGGTTCCTTCTGCATTGCTTTTGCGCAGCAGAAACGACCTGTTTTGGGCCGAATTGTCACCTGTGATGAAAAATGGGTCATGTATGATAACAGGAGACGTTCCGGACAGTGGTTGGATTTTCGATGAACTGCCGAGGTAATTTTCAAAGCCGAACCCTCACGAAAAAAAGATTCGCGGTCACGGCTTGTGTCATCCGGGCGGTTTTTGACACTATAACTTTTCATCAAAAACCAGTCGGCAAAAGCATCACAGGCAAGAACCCTACTGTGAAGAAATCGACGAATTGTACCGAAAATTTTGTCAGATGCAGCCAACACTTATCAAAAGAAAGGGTCCGATTCCTTTGCATGACAACGCCCGCCCACACTACCCCGCGCTGCACCCGACCTGGGCGGGCTGAATATCGGGCCCTCTGACAGTTTACAAATCACTATCCATAAATTGAACGAATTGGAGGTTGAAGTTCTACCTCAACCGCCATATTTTCAGACCTTTCGCCAACCGACTATCACCTTTTCTGACATTTTCAGAACTCCCTTGCTGGAAAATACTTCATCAATCAGGACCAGGCAAAAAAGCCTTAGTGGATTTCGTGAATTTTCGACCACCCAGTTTTTTACTTTGATGGGATTTCTCGACTGCTGTCACATTGGCAAAAGTGTGCTGATTCGAATGGTGCCTATTTCGATTAAATCCGATGAGTATTAAAAAAGTTACGATCGTTTAAAGTGAAAAAACGCTGAGAACTTTCCGGACAACCTAATATAAAGCTATGCGGGGGCCGAACTTTGCCACACTTGTCAGGGTTTACAGGTCTTACCATGAGGTGGACTGCGTATTTCAGAAAGGAACTAAACAAAAAGAAGCTAGCGAAAGTGCAAAAATGCCCGCTCTGAGCGAGATAAAAAAACTAACGCAAGCCGAGCATTTTCAAAAACAACAAACGCGCGCAATTATTTAAACACATCCCAAAACGCGGTAGTAGACTGTGGCACTAGGTGGCTCGTCTTGACTCTGAGGGGACGGCCTGCAGTTATTTTCAGCAGCGGTATAAGATCATTGATCTACCTGTCATGTTTCTTCGAGTAACAAGGCATCGCCTGGAGTTCGAACCATCGACTCGTGTTGAAGAAAAAAGCGAAGACGACAGCGGAAACGATAACCCCTTTCACCGCTGACGAATTTGATATTCGTTGTATCTGGAATAGAGTAAAATTTGGACGCAATCCTAAATCTAACTTCGTTTCACGGAAGCTATCAGCTTCTCAGCCTTATTAATCAGGCTGAAAACAGACAGCATTCTCTGCGCGGAGCGATGATCAGCTTATTGAATTGCGTTCTGTAAACGTCCCTTCAAGTTCGGTCACCCACGACTAAGAGGAGGACGGGAGGGGGGGAATGGGAAAGCATTGGCAAGCTCTCACTCCCAGATGCCTACTGATGATTTGAAAAGCCTGCGTTTTGGACTTATTTTCTGTTAACTCAGCCACAACTGAGAATCGCAAGGAGGGCATTTTTTAAAACATAAAAATGAGAATGGAACGGACAAACCCGGATTTCGGTTTACTTATTATCCAATGAAGTGGAAGCTAATAACCCAAGTGAAGTATGAAGGTCACTGCGCAGGCCGTGCCAAAGAAGTGAAGGCGAAGGGGAACAAAGAAAATTGCCGCTAACTCGCCACTAACTTGAGTCCGGACAAAGTGAGGAGCATTTGGCGACGAGGGGGCATTTTTGCACGTTTTGCGGGCGACAAAGCGTAGTCACACACACCAGACCAGTTACGTAGAGGAGCGTTATATCGTGAGGCTTCACTTAGTTTGATCGGGCAGGGCACGCCATCGTTGTGATGATCACAAGTGGGTCGTATTTGACCGCGAGGAAGGGGGGAGTGCCGTATTTGGTCGTTGTTGGGAGAGGAACTGCCTAAAGTGTATACAAACTTACTTCCGCCTAGTTGAAAATGGAACAGTTGAATCTGACGAGCTCCCCTTCCCTGCGTCGACAGCAAAATTTTGGGGAAAAACCAGAATTTTTCGGGAAATTTCGGAAAAACTGGTAGGAGGTTAGGGAAAATCTGAGAAATTTTCCTGTTTCACATTGGGTATACTCCCCTTCCCCTGCTCGATGGAAAATTCTTGGCTGAAAAACTATAAGTTTTCGGGGAAAAACAGTAGGAAGTTGGGAAATCTAGGAAAGTGGTAGGTAGCATGGGGAGGGAGGGGGAGGTCGTATTCGACCCCCCTCCTGCCAAACTGCACCAAAGTGAATTTAACAAGTAGAACTAATGCCTGTGAAAGAAGTCACCAAGCGCGGCACAGTGTGGTAGTCAGCATTTAAATTTCTTGATTTTTCTAAATTTTTAGTAAATGGATAGAAACTAACCAGAAAAGGATGACACACGCCCATGAATCGATGCACTGAGACCAAAATGGTGAGGTAGACGGACATGGTAAGACCAGTCTGTGCGAGAGGATAAAACCACACGATTAATACAGCTGACGCACGTGCCAAGTCTGCAATAGGTGGTTTGATTTTCAGGAGAAGGGCAGGTGATGGTTTGTACACTTACCGACGTCATCAATCACTTCCGCATACACAGGAACTGAAAACACGAAGAACGAGGCAATTAGTACAGCGAGGTCACTAAGTGATAGCACCAGAAAGAACCAATTGACCGGTTGATTGCACATCTTAACAGTACGGCAATAATAACAATCAGCAATTATTTGTTTTCCAAATGTACACTGAAAAACAAGAGATACATGGGCGATTAACTTCAGTTCGATTATTCCATTTGGTCAGAAATGAACTACAGCAGTTTTTTTTGTAATCCCCCCACCGAGCACGGAGTCACAGGCTCATATCAATCCTACGTGTTCTCAGGGTAGTCTCACCGACCTTTGCGGAGTAATGAAGGT